TTTTTTCTTCTTGTTTATGTGGTGCTGAGGAATCGAACCCAGGGCCTCATGCATGCAAGGCAAGCGCTCTACCACTGAGCCACCTTCCCAGCCTTAACTTCTTAATCTACACAGAAAATACAATCTTTAGTATCAAAAGTAAATAATTTTTACAAAATAATCTATTTCACATAACACCCTTGTAAAATGAATCTTCTGTCACCTAGCATTAATTTGCAGCCTCTAAAAGAAACAATACCATTTAAGAACCTTCCTAATTGTTTTTGTCTCCAATTCTGTCTCTTTAAGAAAGATCTGGTTTTGCCTCAAAGTAAAAAGACCTAATGATCTGGTCCTGAACCCATTTTCAGTTACATCTATACAAAGCACATGTGACCCGAGATTACAGAAGCTAAGATCTGCAAGAGCTATAGAATATCATTGAATGTAATGACAAGTTGAGCACACTCAAGAGGACTGAAACAAAGCAGGTGAATGCCAAGATACACAGTGAGTAATGATATGGGAACTCAGGCACATTGAAATTACTGCACAGAACACTGTACCTTTCAGGACTGTGGCAAATAGCCTATTTTACTGTGGTGCACTCTCCTTTGAGAAAAACTTTATAGAGTCACCTATATTTCATGTAAACCTAACCAAGGCCCTGAAATTTTATGTTCTTTTGGTTCACTATGATCTAAGTATTTTTAAAAAGTTATTTTCCTAATTATTCTGGAAAAAAGCATCCTTTCATTACATATGTATACACATACACACACACACAAATTCCTACTAGAAACAAGTTACTCAATTCAGTAGGCTGGGCCATACAACATATAAGTAATAAAGCATTTGTACATACTTAATAAATTCTATAATAAATGTTAGTACTGCTCCCATTTTGTGTTCTGAACCATAAAGGCCTTAAAATTATGCCAAATTTAACCACCAGGGGTGGGGCTGTTGCTTGAAAAACAGTGTTCATAAGAAAGCTTGCTGTCTCTTTTCTATTCCAGCAGTTTGATTTGTGGCAGGATACAATGAGCTCCCTACCAAGTCAGAGGACACAAACTGTGAAGAGGATGGGTGAAAAGAATGAAGAAGCTCATGACACAGGAGTAGGAAAGTCTGAAATTACAAAACTATAATCCCCAGCATTGCACATACCTGAGAAGAAATTAGGAATATATTTTACCTTCTTTATGTTCTTCTAGATAATGTAGGAAGTTGGCTTTTATAATTCGTCTTATTAGTACTTCCAAGTATGAGAGCACATGTGTCTATAAACACTACCGTAAACCTGTTTCCTATTAAGACCTGATTAGAGTTAATATTTCATGCTTGTATGCCCTGGTCTAGGCCTTTTCGTAACAACTGAGAACCATCTTAAGTGTTCCCTTCTCAATTTTCAAGGGATAAGAGTCTAGAACTATGGAGTTTCCTTAGTCTCTGGCATTTCCAGGGCTCAAACTCAAATCTTGGTTAAGAATATGTCAGAACTTAGAAATGCTGTCATTGCCACCTAGAGGTGAAGGGAAGACATGGCTCAACCAGCTACAAGCATTGCTTAGTCTCCTCTGGCTTTGATCCTAGTCATAAACAACAAATGAGATTGTATATATTCGGTTAAAAATAAAGAAGAAAAGAAAACACAATAGCTGTCAGCATGCAATAATGCGTCAAAACTCATATTCACAAGTAGAGACTGTTAACATTATGTGAGGACAGAAAGTATTTTATTCATCACCTGTACATAAATAGCTAGTCCTCTTGTACCTACATACCTCCATCTTCAAGGTGTATTTTCTAAAATACAGCAAAATGGGGCTGGGAATGTGGCTTAATGGTAGAGTGCTTGCCTAGCATGCATTTAGTTCTGGGTTCAATTTCTCAGTACCACATAAACAGAAAAAGCCAGAAACAGCACTGTGGCTCAAGTGATAGAGCACTAGTCTTGAGCACAGAGAGACTCAGGGACAGATCCCAGGCCCTGAGTTCAAACTCCAGGACTGGCAACAATTAAAAAAATAAAAATAAAATACAGCAACAAGCAGAGATCATGGTATTCTACTATGTCTTGACTGCTCGCTTCCTTGACTGCTAGGGTCTTACCACATCAAGACTATGACATGTAAGAGAACACCATGGCTCACTAAAAATAAAAATTTGTAAGAAAAAAGAACATAACATAGCCAGTTATGTACACATGAATAGACTTAATGAAAACAGTCACCGTAAAATTATCTGGATACAGGAAACAAATCTCCAAATTTTAATCAACTAAACTTATTTATGTGTCACACTACTTTGAGATATACAAAGTAACCTAATGAAAAACAGAATAACATACACACAAACTCTGCAAATAACTAGCACATTAAAGAAAGGAAAGTAGCTATTCCTCTCCTAACAGTGAGAGACCATGACAGTGCAGTCATCAAGTTCTAATCCCAGGTCTACTCCACACAGCTATGTGAGCTAAAAGAAGTCACTTCAAGTCCTTTCATGTCTCTTTTACTACAGAAATGTATCATCTATAAGGTTATTTTTGAGGATTAAAATAAATGCCTGGCATATGACAAATGAATAAATGAAAAATTTTTCTTTCGAGATCTAAAAACAATGTTAAGTTTTCTTAGTGCTCTGAGGTCTTCATAACAATTTTCACTGCTTGAAAATAATCTATGACCTAGATTACTGGTAAAGTGTGTGTTTACACACATTTTGTGTAGATGCAGGTGAGACTGTAGAGACTGTAGAGTAACAGACTGCTTTCTGTCATTTGAAGCTCACCTAAGCATACTCTCATTTTCCTGAGTTCAACAAGGCAGAAAGAACAGCCTGATGTTAGAAACCACTTTAATGGGTCCACTCTAATATGCCCACCCAAACCCTCCACCAAAAATCAAAGTCTCTTACCTAGCCAATCCTTCTTCATAGAGATAGATGACAAGAGGATCATAGGAAGTCACGAGCACATAGAGGCGCACGTCAAACTTGAAGTCTAGAAAAAAAGTTTGCATTCACAGGAAAAACTATGTTTGTGTCTGTTTTCTGTCAGAGAATGAAATGGACAATGTAACCAAAAACATTGAAAGAATGAACATTCCTCTTCATATGAAGTATACTCTACCCATACACCTTGCCTTTGAGAATAAAGAAGTATACTATATAATTTTGTTATATATATATAGTACATCAAATTACAATATATAATATCTGTATCTATATTATATAGTTGTGTGTGTGTGAGTGAGAGTGAGATTAGGGAGCCTATAAAGCATTTCTTATTTTATCACTTTTAGTCTTCAAAATATTCCTTAGTAGTAAGTAAGGAAACAGTTTCTGGAGCCACAGTTGTCAAGAATTTCATGCTAGCTTTAAAAAGATTTACAGAAATTATGGAAAAGTTAAAAGTTTAGCAAGATCTAGCCCGATCTAGTCAAGAGTGGAATCACAACTCACCATCTATGAGCAGGGGGTTGTTAATATAACGGGAGACCAGGATATTCTCTTCCAGGGAAATCTGGTTTGGCTATTGAGTAAACAGAATGAAAAGGAAAAAAATGCAAAGGAATTCTAATTTACATAAGGGAGCAAAGTTCTTAACTTTTTAAGAAATAATGTGGAAATCAAAACTTTAGGAATAAAGTTTTCCTCTATGGAACCCAAAATAATCAATTGACCTGGTAATCTACCTCTTCTATAAACACTGATAGTATTCAATTACAATGGGAAGAAATAAACATATATAGCACCTTTCAAATAACAAATACAGCCTAACTCTTCTAGATGTAAGTCTACATATATATGTATGTATACTCTAAGTTGCTTGTTAAGAAAGTAAGAGCAACTTACAAAATGAAAACATTTTTCTTCATAATATAAAGAACAGGGCTGGGAAGGTGGCTCTGTGGCAGAGTGCTTGCCTTGCATGCATGAGGCCCTGGGTTCGATTCCTCAGCACCACATAAGCAAAAAGAAAAAAAACGGAAGTGGTGCTGTGGCTCAAGTGGTAGAGCGCTAGCCTTGAGCTGAAGAGCTGAGGGACAGCGCCCAGGCCCAGAGTTCAGGCCCCACGACCGGACCCCAAAAAAAATTTTTTTTTAAATGTAAAGAACAATGAAAGTTTAAAAGTACTACCACTATTCTTAAATGCAGGTTCTCCTTACATTGTTTGGAGAGAATGTAGAGATCTACCAAGAATCCTAGAGTTTCCTCTGGGTATTTGCTTAATTTACTTAAAGGCATTTGCTAAGCAACTGTCTGCAAGGGAAAAAAAGTTGTTTATACAATAAATAGTGAATGATGATGGTCACTCTATAAGGAAGGCACTGGGGACACAATGATAAGAAAAACAAACCCAATCTCTACCTGCACAGAGATTAGCTTTAGTGGTTCCTATCCCCAAGGAGTTTAATACAATACAAAGAACACAAAGCAGCAACTCTGCAAATATAAGATGTCAAATTGCAAAGTGGGTTAGTCAGGAAGGCTTACTCAGGGAAGGCTTGGCCTGAAATGTAGGTGCAGAAATGCTTGTCAAAAGCTATCAGATAGATACATGGTGAGAAAGCCAGGAGGTCATTTTGGATGAAGAAGCAGATTCTCATGCCTGGGGCTAAAAGTCTGAACTGGCAAATAATGGACAGAATGATTATACAAATCGCACAGAAAGACTCCACTGGTGAAAGGATATGAATCCCCAGGAAGGGGAGTTTAGATTTAACAAAATGGAAAGCATCAATTTATTGTAGATTCTAGATTAAGGAAACAGTGAGATTAAGACTTCTGAAACAGAACTGGAGGCATAGTTTATTAGTAGAGTGACAGCCTAACAAGAGTAAGACTTTAAGTTCAAATGCTAGGCAGAAGGAAAAGGAAAGGAAGCTTCTAAAACATAACAAAGCCATATGTGATTATACTAGCATAGAGAAATCAGCTGCAAGTCAATGTTTTCAGAGCAAAGGGGATTCAAAACAGAAATGGCAAAAAATTATGATGTTAACTATGGCAGCAGTTCAAAAGTAACAACATTTGCAGAACCAATTAAAATTCAATAAATTTACTATCTTCCAAAGCTATTCTAAGTCTGTCACAAGTATTATTTCATGTAATCCTCACAAAACCCAGGAGGCAGGTAATCACCGTCAGATTTTACAGATGAGAAAAGAATAAGATATGTTAGAGAGCTACTAAAAATCATACAGCTAATAATCAATAAAGCAATGGAACACAGGAAATCTCTCAGAGGCATCCCTTTTTTTTTTTTTTTTTTTTTTTTTTGCCAGTTCTGGGCTTAAACGCTGGGCCTGGGCACTGTCCCTGGGTTCCTTTTTGGCTCAAGGCTAGCACTCTCCCACTTGGGCCACAGCACCGTTTCCAGCTTTTTCTGCAATTAACTGGATATTAAACTAACAGATGTACATGCCCAAGATGGCTTCGAACTACAATCCTCAGATATCAGCCTCCTGAGTAGCTAGCATTACAGGGGTGAGCCACCAGCACCCAGCTCAGATGCTATACTTTTAACCACTATTCATAGTTCTCAATATTCTGACCCAAAGTACATGTCTCCAAATTTCTAGTTTTTCTTTGTAATAGAGCATTTCCTATCCGAAGTACTACATAATTTTATGATCCATGGCATATTCACAACCACAATGATCAAGTCTGAAATTAGGATAATGAGATTCCCCTCATTTCCCACTGTTGTTATCTCAAAGTCAGACCACAGCTTTTACAAGCCTTCTCCATGTATTATATGAACACAATGACATCAGTACTGATTCATCTCTAATGGAATCAGCCATCCATACCATTTCCTGATGCCCTTAGACTTCTTGATCAGATTCTCGCAAGTAGTATCTTACATCCTAAGAACTGATGTAATCACTTTCAAAGCAGTAAAGCTACAGGCTGTAATCCAACACTGAAATTAATCACAGTTGTGTTCCAACTGAGCAACAACTATTGGCTAAAACAGATATATGACCATTCAACTATCTTCTGTACCAGAGAATATACTGGGAGTGGTTTCCATTCTGTAACGTCTGCTGCTCGTGTCCATTTCCTCTCTCCCTTCCTCATCACATACACAATCATCCACTGAATTGTGCAGAACATAAACCAGGGTATTACTTGGCAACTTTAACATTTGTTTTAATGTCTTTACCTCTCATTCCTATCTGCATTAGGAATTAAACTGTAAGACTAAAAACAGGTGGGTATGGTTTCTTTGCTTAGTGTTGTACATTGAAGAGCCACTACTAATAAAAGCTTGTTTATATATTTTAGCCTATTTCATCAATCCCTAATGAACTGATTCTAAGTTATTTCAATTTTGAAATTTCCTTCCAAAGAAAGCTAAAAGCCAGATGCTGGTGGCTCACACCTATAATCCTAGCTACTCAGGAGGCTGAGATCTGAGGATCATGGTTCAGAGCTAGCCTGAGAAGGAAAATCTGTGAGACTCTTATCTCTAATTAACTACCAGAAAATCAGAAGTGATGTTGTGGCTCAAAGTGGTAGAGTGCTAGCCTTGAGCAAAAGAGCTCAGGGACAGTGCCTGGGCCTCAAGTTCAAGTCCCATGATTACCAAAAAAAGGCTAAAGTGGGAAGCAGAGTTGTCATGGAAGATGTAAACATCTCTTTTCCTAAATTGAATCTGGTTAAGTTACTATAGAGTAGAAGAATGCAGTGGTATCTATGCAGTTCTAATTACTAAATTCACTTCAACATGCTACACTACATGCCAGTCTACTTAGAGTAGAGCAGTGAGTTATAACAACAATATCTAAGAATCAGGAAAACAAAAAAATTAGGGGAAATTCTTAAAAGGTTTTAAGTCACAGACAGCTGGTACTTCGTATTTGTTGAATGATAAGGGGAGAACATAAAAACAAGAAGAAACAAGAGTATAAAATTATATTAGTAAGTACAGCAGTGGACAGAGTGACCAAACACTGATAGTTCATAACCTTGGGATGTGTATTACTTTACTATGCATCATGTGTGAGAGGGTTGTCTGAAGTGGACTTCCATAAGCAAACTCACATCTTCATCAGGAAATACTGTGTCTTTACCCATTGTTTTGAATCTACTGAATTGGAAAAGGATGGTACTGAGTCAGGTTACTTAAGGAGCTGGGCAACCAGATTTCTTTGCTCCTTTATGCTGTATTTGTAGAGTTAAAGAATTCTTAAGAGGTCATATCAGCCAACCAACCAGGGCTTCCCTTGGTGGAGTTCAAGCTGCTCTGTTCAGTTATTACTTAAGAGTAATACTTTTTGCCGGGCGCTGGTGGCTCACGCCTGTAATCCTAGCTACTCAGGAGGCTGAGATCTGAGGATCGCGGTTCAAAGCCAGCCCGGGCAGGAGAGACCGTGAGATCTCCAATAAACCACCAGAAAACCGGAAGTGGCGCTGTAGCTCAAGTAGTAGAGCGCTCGCCTTGAGCTGAAGAGCTGAGGGACAACGCCCAGGCCCAGAGTTCAAGCCCCACGACCGACAAAAAAAAAAAAAAAGAGTAATACTTTTTATATCCTTTATCCTAGTCTCCTTATGGTAAAAGTTGCTAGTTTCCTATGAGTTATGACTGCTACAGGAAATTTTTACTAAGAGGCCTTCTCATGACAATGAAAAAACAAGAGAAAAATGTCAACCCTCACACCTAACTCCATCCCTTCCTCACTCAGCCACACAAGTTCTACATACAGACCTTGTGCCTGAGCAACCTTCCCTCCCCCTCAAATCTAAAAGGAGAGCAGGCAGCAGCCTGGAAAGAGTTACTTCATCCAGTTGGCTAATAGGTCACATATTCCATGGGAAAAGATCCAGGTATGGAAAAGAGGGAATGGTTAGGCCTTCTGTGTAAGAAAAAAGAGTAGTACTAGCAACATGGTTTGCAGGTCTGGGTAAAAAGTGATAAAATTCCAGTTTGGGGGTGAAATGAACTATGTCCCCCATAGGTTTACATGCTGCCAGCCCTCCTCTGCCTGCTGGCATCTTCCCAGGCTTCTGTCTGGCACCTCCACTAAATACCTAAAAGAATCAGATTCATTCCAAAGCTTCACCAAGGAGGGAGGAGAAAGGCAAAAAGTCCTGCCAAGTACTTTGATCTATGCAGGGGGTCTCAAGAGATTCCTCCCAGGGAGAGGTGGGAGGGAGAAGGAGACTCAGACAAAGCCTGCCAAATGTGCATTCCCTAAAGACATGTCATTCCCTTTATGAGTTCCAACATCAGCGAGGAGTTAGGGCACAGGGTTCCCAGCCCCACAAGGAAAGCTTTAGTTTTCTATTCTTTATGATGTTAGCTTTAGAAGAATGGATCATGAGGGCAAAAGAGCATTCCAAAAGAAAAAAGTCCCAGATGTGCTAGGAATAGATCCTTTTCTTTTTGACTCATGTCTAAGAAAAAAAAAAAGCAAATCTATCCCAGAGTTGATTCTCAATAGCAATTCTATTTGGCAGCTAAAACCCTAATCCAAACTAGTACTGTCCATGAGATTCAAACAACACTGAGCTCCTGGCACAGAGCTGAAGGGAAGGCTGTTGGACAGGAGCCTCACGCCAGAGTCAGATGGACAGAAGACAGAGCCAAGGCATATGACCAGGTCTTAGGTCACATGAGATCTGGTACAAAATAACCTTAGTGGCTGGGAAGGTGGCTCAGTGATAGAGCACATGCCTTGCATGCCAGAGGCCCTGGGTTTGATTCTTCAGCACCACATAAGCAAAAAGAAAAAAGCCGGAAGTGGCGCTGTGGCTCAAGTGGTAGAGCACTAGCCTTGAGCTGAAGAGCTGAGGGACAGCGCCCAGGCCCAGAGTTCAGGCCCCATGACCGGACCCAAAAAAACAAACAAACAAAATAACCTTAATAGTAACCCAGGCCAGGTGACAGAACTTATAACTGGGGCCTGGAGTCCAGTGATTGTTCTCTGGAAACAGAGCCCCAATTCATCCAGTATGAAAGGTCTGGCCATCATTGTTTATCATCCAGTTTTGGTGTTTTTTTTTTGGTTGGTCCTGGGGCTTGAACTCTTGGCCTGGGAGCTGTCCCTCAGCATTTCAGCTAAAGGTGAGTGCTCTATCACTTGAGCCACAGCACCACTTCCAGTTTTCTAGTGGTTTATTAAAGATAAAAGTCTCACCGACTTTCCTGCCCAGGCTGGCTTTGAACCATGATCCTCAGCTCTCAGCCTCCTGAGTAGCTAGGATTACAGGCATGAGCCGCCGGTGCCCGACACCATCTAGTTTTGAGTCCAGGATCTTCCAAGTTGAAAAGCCCCTCAGAAAGCTCATTTCTGCACACATAGGAAACAGCTCAATAAGAAAGGTAATTGAAGAATTTAAGATGGTGTACTGACCACACCCACAGCATATCTACCCCCACTTTCCTTTCCTGTCCAGAGTTCTACTCGAAGAACAGAAAGGGTATTTTCAAAAGAATGAAATGATAATAAGGCCAGAAAAAAAAAGCAAAAGGAGGCAGAATAGACCAAAAATTTAAGGGAGTTCTGAAAAATAGCTAGCAGATGGAATCAGGTTGAAAAACCAGAGCTGAGGAAGCCCTAGCTCAAATATGGAGGGGGAGGGCTCCTGAGCCCTTGCAAAGGTACAAGCTTGGCCATACAAGCTGGGTAAGAGGTAGGGCAGGCCAAGAAACACACATCAGATCATCATCAGGGATATCGAGCAGTGGGCCTTCTCTAAGCACCCAAGTGGCAGCTATACCTTGAGGATCAAACCTAATGATGCTTTGGGAAGCATCCCTTGTGTGGTTGCAGGGATCTCATGGAGGAGGGAAGAACCTAAGCTTACTCTGTCCCCAACAAACACTAAAAAGAAAAGAGAGGAAAAATATGCATAGGAAGAAACTCATCAAGCTCCCCTACGGTCATGAGGCCCATCTGTCTTGGCAAAATAGAAGAGGCAGGCTCTTCACCCACATTCTCAACTCCATCTGTAAGCGAGCATGCTGTGCTCTTACAGAAAATGCCCCATCAGTCTCTGATCCAGGAAGGGGCTGTCCTCTCATCCAGGAAGGGGTTGCCAGGGAAAGAGTCTTACATGGCCATACAGAAATCCAAGCCAGCCTACCAGTTTCAATCTAGTCTGATTCATAAATATGGCCTAACACCTAAGAATTAGCAGAATTAAGATGATCCGATAGCAGGAAGAAAGCCAACACCCAGAAAATTCAAGAATAGAAGGGTACTTTAAAGACATGTTTTCCTAAGGGAAACAGGCAGGCAAACTGCATCCATTAAGCAATAACAGACCATTATCTGCAAGTAAAAATAAAAATAAAAGAAAATTTTTAAAGTTTCTGGCAACCAAAGTGTGATAGTATAAATATCCACTGCAAGATAACAAAATGGACAAAGCTAAAACTGGTGATTCAAAAGATAAAGGTATGAAAAGGCTGAAGAATGAAAACTAAGGAAGAAAAAAAAAGCAAACACAAAGAAAAGTCCCAAAGTATCTAAAAAAGGAGTTCCAAAAGTGGAGACAGAGATAGTAAGAGGATAATTTTCCTCAAGCTGAAGAAAAACAAAACAAAACAAAAACAAACTCTTAGATGGGTCCATTAAATATCCAGAAGAGGGCTGGGAAGGTAGCTCAGTGGTAGAGTGCTTGCCTTGCATGCCTGAGGCCCTGGGTTCCATTCCTCAGCACCACATAAGCAAAAAGAAAAAAGCCAGAAGTGGCACCGTGGCTCAAATGGTAGAGCGCTAGCCTTGAGCTGAAGAGCTGAGGGGACAGCACCCAGGCCCAGAGTTCAGGACCCATGACTGGACCCAAAAAAATAAATAAATAAATATCCAGAAGAAAAAAAGGGGGGGAAAAAGGGAGAGAAAAAAGGACTAGACCTATATACAAATTTCAGAATCCCAAATGCTGTAGGGTCTGGGGTTTTTACTTTAAATGTTTTTATTCAACTTATAACACGGAAAACTGAGTCATAGTTACTGAAGAGTTTGTGTTTTTGGTTTTTGGGTGTTTCTGCCAGTCCTGAACTCATGGGCCTGGGCACTGTCCCTGGGTTTCTTTTGCCATAGTACCACTTCAGGCTTTTTCTGTTTAAGTGGTACTAAGGAACTGATCTCAGGGTATCATGCATGCTTAGCAAGCACTCTACTACTAAGCCACATTCCCAGCCCTACTGTAAATGTTATAACCCTTTAAAATATTGGAAAAAAAACTTCAGCAGATATAGAATGTGGAAGAGCACATACGCAGATAGGAATACAATAAATGTCAAGCTGGAATTACCAAACACTATGTAAGTTGAGAAAGGAAGAAGCATAAATCATCAATGTCAACTAACTATTGGGGAAAGTCTAGAGAATGAGGAGTTTTATGTACTTTGCATAAATTACTTAGTACTGTGTATCAAATTCTAAAACAATGTTGAATGAAAATTTTGCAAAGAACCAAGATACTGGTGTTTTCTGAAAAGGGGGAAGAGAATAGGAAAGAAGGGAAGGGAAAGCAGAAAGAAGGAACAAGAGCAGAACAATAACAACACCTCAAAAGAAAATTCTGCTCACTAATTTGCTCACTAACTGAAAGCAGGAACCCAAAGTTGTGCTCAACTACAGGTGCATGCTACCAATTAATCCCAGTGCTATATACAGTGATATATACAGAAGCAGAAGACACCTCTTTTCTGTGGACACAAACGCTGCCTTCCCCCAGATATGACCAAGTGACTTTCTGCCATGGAGGAAATGTTATGGCACAGGAGAAGGTCACTAGCAGTAGGGTAAACAATAGACCTTGCACAGCCATTCTCAATTCTGAATCAGACATCAGAAGGGAATATTATTCTTAAGGGAAAGGATCCACAAGACTACCAGGTCTGCCATCTTCTGCATACTTACATTGTTGATCAAGTAGACGCCACGCCCCCTAGAAGAGGCCACTGGTTTAACTATCCAAGGTCCCCGGTCCTTTGAATATGAATCTGCTCAAAATATTGGGAAATAAAACAAGAGAAAAAGCAAGACAAAGAAGGAATGTGAGTATATTATCTTAAATTTCAAGAATGATTATTATCTTTAGGTAACTAAAACCTTCAAAACTTCTAGCAGGAGGGCAGCAACTAAAAGTACCTGTATTTTTGGACTAACCTTGAAAGGAAAGGTAGGGACTGGGGGAGAAGAGGAGGAAATGAAACAACAGCAAGTCCAAGGCTAACTTGGGCTACAGAAACAAAATGCAAAAACAGAAGTTCTGGGAACAGAGCCCAAGGAGAAGAACACTAGAGAGATATTCAATCCCCTATGGGCTAGAAGGAAAGAAGGAAGAAAGAAAAGGAAGGAGACAAAGAAAAGGGGAAGAAGGAAGGGAAGGAAAAGAGGAATGGTAGAAGAAAGGGAAGGAGAGAGGGAAGGAAGGACCACACAGAATTTAAAGCTCCACTGTATCCTCTAGTTTTATTCACATCTGTGAAATACTGTATATATATGGTTATATGATATTGCATTATAACAGCAAAGGATTAATTAGATATACTCGTACATCTGGGAGGGTGGTTATCAGCAAAATTACTGTTTAAGGCCAGATCACAAACAGAGCACAGTTGCTCATCCCTACAATCTAACTACTTGAGAGGTGGACATCAAGATCTGGGGGTTTTATTGTAAATGTTTTACTCAACTTAAAATACTGAAAACTTAGTTATATTATTGAAGAGAACTGTAAATGTTACAATCCTTTTAAAATACCAAAATAAAAGCTAGGGGGAGGTGTTTCACTCTTGCTATCCCAGCTGCCTGAGAGGTATGTATAGGAGGATCACAGTCTAGGTAAGGTCATATTCAAAACATTAAAAAAAACAACTGAAGATAACAGCATAACTGATAGAAGACCTGTTTGACAAGTGCAAAGCCCTAAGTTCAAACCCCAGTATTGCCAAAATATAAACAAATCCAAATTTCACAACAAGAAAACTCTTCCTGAAGATTTAATCAGAGAGCAGAACCCTGAACAAGTGGCACAGCCTGACCAGCATCATGGTATGATGAAACCAAGAATCCTCTTCACTATCACACCTTCCCTGTCCCTCCTCTTCTATAGGTTAAGAAGTCCCTGCTGTGGTCTTTAGATGGTAACACTAAGGACTTAACTGGAAATACAGCAGATGCTTCTATTTGCCAGGCCTACATGTGGTGACATTGGGTTATGGCTGCAAAAAATGCTATGCATTCTACTGACCTTCAGAAAGCATTTTTGTTTAAAAAAAAAAAAAGGTACAATTTAAGAGTCTGAGTAGCTAAAAGACAATTCCACTGAAACCCAAATCAGACTTGAGTGGATGGGAGAAGAACACTTAACTCTAACTACCAAATAAGCATCTCCCCCATCCATTGCTGTAGCGCAGGAGGATATCAGGAAGGAAAAATTGCAGAGCTCTGCTAAGTTCAAGTTAATAGAGAACTGTTCTTAACTTCAATTTCTCTCTTTTTGGAATTCCACAATAGGAGATGTTCATACCATTTTATGTTGCTGACATAATAGCCAAATCACTTTTATGCCATCGTGTTGGCTTATGATGGTTTGTATTTTACCACTTTTATTAGGTAACAGGCAATTAAATATCACTTGAAGCTGGGCATGGGTGATTCTTGCCTATAATCCTAGTTACTTGAGAAGCTGAGATCTGAGGATCATGGTTTGAAGCCAGCTGAGGCAGGAATGTTCATGAAACTCTTTCTTATCTCCCACCAAAAAAGTTGCAAGTAGAGCTGTGGCTCAATTGGTAGAGTATTAGCCTTGAGCAAAAAAGTTCAAGGACAGTACATAGTCCCTGAATTCAAGCCCCAGGACCCAGCATACACACCTCCACACACACAAAGTCTGTAACTTGAAATAAGAAATAATACTGAATGTCAAACACCTATCAGGTACTGTTCCAAGTGCTCTCCACATATGAACCTATTTAAACATTCTGACAACACTACCTGTAAGATCTGTGCTAAGGTACAGAGAGGTCTGAATGACTAGCCAAAGCCACATAACGGCAACAACAACAAAAGATCCTTGCCAGGCCAGGCACTGCTGGCTCACAACTTTATCCTAGCTACTCAGGAGGTTGATATCTGAGGATCATGGTTTGAAACCAACCCAGGAAAGAAAGTCTGTGAGACTCTTATCTCTAATAAACTATTCAGAAAAAGCCAGAAGTAGTGCTGTGGCTCAAGTGGTAGAGCAGTAGCCTTGAGAATAAAGAGGGTCAGGGACAGCAATCAGGCCCTGAGTTCAAGCCCCAGGACTGGGGAAAAAAAATCCTTGCCAGGAGCTGGTGGCTCATACCTGTAATCCTTAACTACTCAGGAGGTTGAGATCAGGATCCTGGTTCAAAGCCAACCCTGGCAGACAAATCCCAGAGATTCCTATCTCCAATTAACCAGCAAAAAGTTATAAGTAGAGGTGTGATTCAAGTCGTACAGAATCAACTTTGAGTGGAAAAAGCTAAGGGAGGGCACTGAGTTTAAGGCCCAGTACTAGCCTGAACACACACACACACACACACACACACACACTCTCTCTCTCTCTCTCTCTCTCTCTCTCTCTCTCTCTCTCTCCTTAACTACAATATGTCTCCCCTGAGTGCACTATAAGTAGGAAATCGATTTTTTACTTTTTTTTTTGCCAGTTACTGCAGTTCGTACTGAACCTGGTGCTTGCTTGTTTGGCTAGTGCTTACCACTTGAGCCATGCCACTAACATGACTTTTTGCTGGTTATCTTGAAGATGGAATCTCACAAACTGTTCTGCCCAGACTGGCTTGGGACCACAATCCTCCAGATCTCAACCTCCTGAGTAGTCAGGATTATAGGCATGAGCCCGGTGCCTGACTAAGCTTTGGAGATTTTATTGTTATTGCTGTTACGGTTGCTTTGGTTTTATAGTGATACTGGGCTTTAAACTTAAGATCTCTTGCTTGCTAGGCAGGCATTACCACTTGGGCAAGCCCCTTGATTAATTAATGCTCTAGGTGACCCACTTCAGGGAATTCTGTAGGCCAATGATTAACTAATGATTCCAGCTAGATACAAAATAGTACCTGAGTTCTTGATACACTACTGTTCTCTTCACTCAAATGATGGACAGAATCCAGGTGCCGGTAGCCTGTAATCCTAGCTACTCAGGAGGCTGAGATCTGAGGATCATAGTTCAAAGCCAGCCCAGGCAAGAAAGTCTGTGAGACTCTTACCTCCAATTAACTACCAGAAAACCGGTAGTGGCACTGGGGCTGAAGTGGTAGAGTGCTAGCCTTGAGCTGAAGCGCTGAGGGACAGCACCCAGGCCCAGAGTTCAAGTCCCACGACAGACCCAAAAAAAAAAAAAAAAGATGAAAAGAAAGAAACTTTGTCTGTTTTCTGTCTTCCCTAAAACTCCATTCTCACTGGTGATGCTGAAAAGTGGTCAAATGTAAGCAAACACAGTGCTGGACAGCATGGCCTCTGAAACCACACTGACAGTCTAAATCTTAACTGCACACGTACAAGATGCAGGACTTTAAGAAAGTTTTTAACCAAACTGTTCCTGACCCTTATCTATAAAACTCACTTGAGTGGGGATCCACTTAAAGCAGTTCCTAACAGAAAGTGTTCAATCAGTGTCAGTATTACACATCTACTATATAGACTCTCATCCCTTGTCTACCTTTTCTTGTACCAAGTCTACTGAATACCTACTATTCCCAGGAGGAGGGCCCAAAATAGCCCAACTCTTAGGCAAGTTTATGAAGAGGCAAAAGAAATAAGAATCCCATTTTAGACCTGGATCTGGGCCATATGTTCCTATGTAACTTTACCAGTAATACCAGCTGACATTTAGATCCCTACTTGGCTCCCATGTGTATTTTTTTATTAGTCTGAACTTAAGGAAAAAGGGTGTGACTAATTGGTACCACCAAACCATACACTAACATCAAAAGATATATGATACTTGTTCCCAAACAGCATAAATCACACAAGTCTAGAAATCAAGGCAGCAAGAATGTTCTTAAATAGCAAAGAAAAGGGACAGTCAGAAAAGCACATGCAGTTCGCATGCAGAAATACAAAGTGTGCTTGCCCAGGCACTGACTCTCATAGATGAATTGACAATTAAGCACAAATACTCAACACCGGCAAACCTGGATGACCCCAATGTAGCCCTTTATATATATCATATATATATATGATGACTGTCATCTACTAGACAATCAGAATAAAAGTAGTTTTAAATTTGTGCCTGCAACTGTTTTACTAGGAAACCACATCTCTCAATTGGTTGATAATGTGAAGCTTCTGAGTTAGATCTGCCCTAAGTTCAGGTGATAGGGCTGGGGTACTCTTGGTCAAGCACTTACTACAAAATTCCGCGTACTCAGCTGGCAAGAGGAAGGTCTGAGGGAGGATGTGGAAAGCCTTGAATCCATGCGTATGCTGCATCCGAATGACGTTTTTGTACAGTCTGTCCTTTCGGGTTAGTTCATAAGACCTACAAACCAAAAACATATTTCCATGTCAGTAAGCTGTGATGCAGAGGTCTTCCTTGTTATTACACTAGTAAGAGTTCATAGTATGCCATTCTGGAGCAGTTCTAAAGATACCAAGAAGTCTAAATGTATCATTTTGTTATTCCTCAAGGCTTATGAACCATGTCATTAAGTGGATATTTTTGGTCAGATTTATTAAAATACCATTTATTTATAGTAAAATTTCTCCTTTTGAGTGTATAATTAGCAGTTTGGACAAGCACTTACCAGCACAGGTCTAACATCAAAAGTTTCTGGGAATGTGGCTTAGTGGCAGAATGCTTGCCTAGCATGCATGAAACCCTAGGTTCGATTCTTCAGTACCACATAAACAGAAAAGCCAGAAGTGGCTCTAAGGCTCAAATGGTAGAGTGCTAGCCTTGAGCAAAAGAAGCTCAGGGACAGTGTTCAGGCCCTAAGTTCAAGCCCCAGGACTAGCAAAAAAAAAAGTTGCTTCCAGTACCTTGGTAGTCAACCTGTCAATCACCACCAGACCATGGGCAAACATTCATCTTTCTGTTGTTTCCCAAAAAGTCAAGCCAACGGAATTATGTGGCACATACATTTTTAAAATTGGCTTCTTTCACTGAGCAGGATGCATGTGATCTTTACCCTTGTTGCTGCACTTATTTGTATTTTGTCCTTTACCTTACTGGGTAAATAATAATATGACTATTAACACATTCACCAGCTGAAGGACATTCAGGTGTTCCCAGTTTGGGGAAATGATGAATAAAGTTGCTATTAGCATTTGCACAGTTTTCTGTGAACACAGCTTTTTTTTCCCAGCTTTTGTGCAAACATTCATTTTTCAACATGTAAATCTGCTGTTTAGCAAGCTGTATTAGTTATCTATTGTTGAATAACCAACCCCCAAATATAGGATCTTAAAATAACAATGTACATTTATGATCTCATGTACTGTGGACCAAGAATGTAGAATGATATGGCTGGTTTTGTCTCAGGGCCTCTTCTCAGGTTGTAGACAAGATGTTGGCCTGTGCTGAGGTACTCAGACATAACTGGTAATGGAGGATCTACTACTTCCCAGATGTCTTATTGGTATGGGGATGGCTGCTACCCAGAGGCCTCAGTTCCTCCCCGTGTGAACTCTCCATAAGGCTGAGAGCCTTCATTCTTCACCATATGGCTACTGCCTTCTTCTAGATCAAGTGATGCAAGAAAGATGCTGCATATCTGCTATGACCTAGTCTCAAAGTGACACTCTGCCACTTCTGCCACATTCCATTTGATAGAGGCAAGTTGCTAAGTCCAGTAGACACTCAAGAACAGAAAAAATTAGCTCAACTTTTTGAAGGCAGTGTCAAAAAATTTATGGACACATTTTACAATCACCAGATAAGTATATGTTTAACTTTATTAGAAACTGCCAAATGGTTATTCTGAGAATACTGGAAAAACAGCTCAGTTTCTCCTATTATATTCTGAGACATGGAGGAAATATCAAAGCATTTTTCCAATTTTCTATTCTCAGTTCAACACAATCACTCAACACTTTTGACACCATCTGTAAGAGGGCTTTTCCCCACATACCAGCAAGCAATCCTGCAGCAGACACCTACAGAGTGTAATTCAGGTCAGTTCTGACACTATCTACGTAGAGATGGCATCAGATCCCACAGAAATTGGTTCAGTCCCTCTGACTTTCCCCTCACTTCTGATGCTACTTACAAGACAGTTCTTTACCTGGTTGAACAAGATTCCAAGATCTTCTCTTTGGGTTCAAACAATTTGCCAAAGGGGGTGACAGAACACAGTATAACACTCAGTTACATTTACTGGTTTATTATAAAAGGTATTACAAAGGATAAGAGGGAACAATACATAGAGTAAGTTATGGGAGAAAAGGTGTAGAATTTCTAGGCCCTCTCCTAACACTCTACCCTCCAGAAATTCTCACATGTCCTTAGGGTTTGTAACAGAAGCTTAATTTGGTAGACACAACTGATTGGATCACTGGTGATCATTATGACTTTCAGTCCCTTTCCTCTTCAGAGGTTGAGGAGCAGGCTGGAACTCTCAACCCTCCCATTATAACTTTAGTCTTTCCTATCAGAAGTCCTCATTCTGAAGCTACCAAGAGGCTGCCAGTCATCAATCAATTCATTAGCAACCAAAGGATACTTGCCACCTTGGAGACTACAAGCTTTAAGAGTTGTAGATCAGGAAACAGAGACTTAGATATAGAAATGTATCTCTCTCTCTCTCTCATATATATTTTTTTTTTTAACCAAAGTGGCTGTATACCATTTTGTGTTCCCACCAGCAACATATTAGGGTTACACTTGCAAGTCAGTGTTTAGACAGACAGACAGACAGAGATATAGGTATATACCTTACACAGCTTTGATCTGGATTCCACTAGAACCTAATGACATTGAGCATCTTTACAAAACCTTAATTTGTCATAGGTATATCTTCTTTGCAGTATCCACTCAAATCTTTTGCTCAATTTGAAAAATAGTGTTGCTTACTTATTGAGAGTCAATTGTATACTTTGAATTGAAATTCTTCATCACAGATACATTTTACAAATGCATTCTCCAGCTTTTAGTTTGCTTTTCCTGTTTCATAACTATGTCTTCAGAATGCCTGTTTAGGAAGTACAAGGCCCTAAATTCAATCCCCAATACTACCTCTAGACATGTAGGATACACATACACATTTAATGATTGAAAACTACATTGTTTCAATTTTGTTAAAAGCAAAGAAATGGAATACCATCATAAAAGGAGGATTTGTTATGCTGTTACTAGAATTAGACAACAGTATTTTTAGTCCTTTGCTTGGAATCTTGGAAATTTTTATGCCCAAGGGCAATGAGTCATGTTAAAATACTAGGTGGGTCATTATTTCATGAAGGTAAAAAAAAAGCAGCAACTGAAAGGGAAAGTGAGGAAGGAGAATTCATTCCTATGAGGTGTTGTCAATAAGCTCATATTCAGGAAAGAACTGTCTCCTTTAAAATCATCAGCATCAAGCCAGGCACCTGTAATGCTAGCTATTCAGGAGGCTGAGATCTGAGGATTGTGGATCAAAGCCAGCCTGGATAGGAAAGTCTGTGAAATCAATAAACTACTCAAAAAAGTTGAAAGTGGCACTGTGGCTCAAGTGGTAGCCTTGAGCAAACAAAGCTCAGGGACAGAGCCCAGACCCAGAGTCCCAGAACCAGGAAGAAAAAAAAAAAAAAAAAAGCATCTTCACTGTCATGGAAAAGGTTTCCTGGAACTCTATTCAGAAAGTTCCTGTCTGGCCAAGAAGTTCCAATGTTTCTCCTACATCCTATAGTAGTTTCAAGATTTCAAGTCTTACACTGAGGTCTTTGATACATTTTGAATTGATACTAGTACATCGTGACAGCTATGGACCCAGTTTCCATTTTCTGTGTGTAGATACCCAGTTTTCTCAAAACCATTTGTTGAAAGGGCTTTTTTTCCATCCTATGTTTTTGGCTCCCAAATATTAGATGACTGTAGGTCTGCAGGTTTCTTTCTGGCTCTTCTATTCTGTTCCATGGTCTTCAGTTCTATCTTGTGCCAGTACCAATATTAACTATTGTTACTGACTATATACACCAATATCAGCAAAGTAGCTACAAGAGAATTACCTGGGAAAGTGATTAACCTTTTGTGCTTCAGAGAGGGTGCGAAGTAAGAAGGGTTTCAGGTGGGATCCTGTCCACATCAGGTTATAGTCTGTGCTGCTTGGGTGAACCTGAGGGCAGGCAGAAATTCAAAAGACAAGAAACCATCAGAGACAGCCGTTTCTAGGAAAAGCAATACAGAGAAAGTCCTAGCAATTGTTCATTCAAAAGACTCACAACAGTAGCCCAATAAGTATGGGAACCTAATGAGACAGAAGAAAGTTTTACAGCACAGAAGACAATGTTTAAAAAATACATAAGTTCCTACAACAGATGAGTGGATCCAAAATATGTTGTATCTATACACAATGGAATTTTGCATAGACATTAGAAAAAATATATTATGTCATTTACAGGGAAATGGATGGACCTAGAACAAATCATATTAAATGAGGTAAATCAAACTTAGAGAGACTAACAGTGAATGTTTTTTCTCATATGTGGAAATCAGATCTAAAATACAAAGGGACGTGATAAAATATACAGGACTCTAGGCATTCACACACAGTGAGACCAAAGGAAGATACTCTTAGGGGAAGAACACAAAGGCTCAATGCCTATATGCATCTGTCATATAAAATAATATTTATCAAAATGAGCACCAGAAAATGAAAACAAATTTTTTGTTGTTTTTATTTTTTTGTCTTGTTTGTATGGTTATCTATCTTTGGGAGGGCAAGAGGGAGAACAGAAATGGAGGGACAAAGGATGAACAAATGCAGCAGTGGTACTCTAACTAGACAGTATGTTGAAAATAATCTATACAACTTGTGGGAAGGAAAAACCAAGAAAGAGTGGGGGAAAGGGTAACACTGTCCAAAAAGAAATGTACTCTTGGAAGTGGTGCTATGGCTCAAGTGGTAGAGCGCTTGCCTTGAGCTGAAGAGCACAGGGGCAGCGCCCAAGCACAGAGTTCAAGCCCCACGACCAACCAAAAAGAAAACAAAAAAACAAATTAAAAAAAATGTATTCTCTGCCTGATTTATATAACTGTAACCCCTCTGTAATTAGCTTTATAATAACAATAAAAGATAAATATTTTTTAAAGTACACAAGTTTAAAATATAAGGAAGTTGGGCAAATCCTAAATGCAAAAAAAAATAATAAAGCTAACCCTTCTATCGATGTTGATATCTTTTTTTTGTTCAAGACTAGAACTTGAGGTCTGGGAATGTGGCTCAGTGGGAAAGTTCTTGCCTTGCATGCATGAGGCCCTGGGTTCGATTCCCCAGCACTACATAAGCAGAAAAAGCCAGAAGTGGTACTGTGACTCAAGTGGTAGAGCACTCGCCTTGAGCTGAAGAGCTGAGGGACGGTGCCCAGGCCCAGAGTTCAGGCCCCACGACCAACAACAACAACAAAAAGAGACTAGAACTTGAACTCAGTATCTGATGCTTTTGCTCACTGGCTGTGCTCTACCCCCTGAGCCACACCTCCAACCCTGATACTTCTTAATTCTTTTGGATATCAAAGTATAAGATCAGGACCCAACTCCAAAATTGCTTTCTCAGACCTAGCTTCTTTGCAGATACTCAGTATGAAGTGTTCATCAGATACATGATTTTTGCCGGGCGCCAGTGGCTCATGCCTGTAATCCTAGATATTCAGGAGGCTGAAATCTGAGGATCATGGTTCAAAGCCAGCCTGGGCAGGTAAATCTGTGAAGTGGTGCTGTGGCTCAAGTGGTAGAGCACTAGCCTTGAGATGAAGAGCTAAGGGACAGTGCCCAGGCCCAGAGTTCAAGCCCCACAACTGACAAAAAATAAATAAATAAAACCAGATACATGATTTTAGTTTAACCAAGTTATTTTATTTGTTCATTTGTTAGAATATACTTGCCCATTCATTAAGAATTATATACTGTAAAAAACAAAAAGAATTATATACTGTACCTGGAGTATGTTAGAATCATGGAATGTGCTGAAGGTTTTTAAAAAAAAAGAAGACAGGATATAATATACGTATCTATTAGATATATAAGATCATCTACAGTTCTTGATTATAGGCATTCTAACTGGGGTGAGGTGGAATCTCAATGTTGTTTTGATTTGCATTTCTTTTATGGCTAGAGAGGCTGAGCATTTCTTCATGTGTCTATTGGCCATTCTTATTTTTTCTTCAGCAAAGTTTCTCTTTAAGTCTTTAGCCCATTTATTTATCGGGCAGTTGTTTCTTGAGGATTTTTAATTTTTTGAGTTCCAAGTATATTTTAGATATGAGACCCTTCCATTGTATGGCTAGTGAAAATCTTCTCCCAATCCGTGGGCTTTCTATTGATGTTGCTAGCTATGTCTTTTGCCATGCAGAAGCTCTGCAGCTTCATGCAATCCCATTTGTCCAACCTTTCTTTGATTTGTTGTGTTTCTGGGTCTCTATTAAGAAAATTTCAGCCTGTACCAAGGAGACGTAGGGTTTCTCCTATTCCGTCCTGTAATGTTTTCAGGGTGTTTGCTTTGACTCCAAGGTCTCTGATACATTTGGAGTTGATTCTGGTGCAGGGTGATATATAAGGATCTAGATTTAGTTTTCTACAGGTGATTAACCAATTTTACCAGCACCATTTACTGAAGAGGCTGTCTTTCTTCCATACTATTTTAACAGTTGCTGGAGGGGATGTGGCCAGAAGGGAACCCTACTGCATTGTTGGTGGGAGTGTAAACTTGTTCAACCACTGGTTCCTCAAAAGACTCCACATAGAGTTCCCCTATGACCCAAACACGACCATACTAAAGCTACCAGCACAACTATGTTTATTGCAGCATTATTTACCATAGCTAAGCTATGAAACTAACCTAGATGCCCCTCAGTAGATGAATGGATCAAGAAAATGTGGTACACACACACACACACAGTCTCTCTCTCTCTCTCTCTGAAATTCTATGCCTCCATCAGAAAGAATGACATTGCCCCATTTGTTAGGAAATGGAAAGACTTGGAAAATATTATATTAAGTGAAGTAAGCCAGACCCAAAGAAACATAAGTCCCATGGTTTCCTTATTCGCAATAACTAGTATATGGCTGAGACAAGCAGAAAAGGTCAGATAAGATGGTGTTAAGCAAAATGAACCCCAAGATAGGGACACAAGTGTTTTTTTCTTGCTTGCTATTGTTTCTAACGTATTTATAAAGTACCATGTGATTTTTTTGTTGCTTTATATGTCCCTTCCCCACGGTATAACCCCTGTTTTCACTGTATTTGATGCTGGTATAATTTGGGGAGGGGAAGGGAAAAATAGGGATACAAGTTGACCCATTGCAACAATGAGAAGTCTAAGACGCTATGTAGAAAAATGAACTTTACAATTTAGGTGGGGGGGCGGGGGGCAGGGGTAGTTGAGGATCTGGAAGGGAAGGGATGGTAGGAGAAAAAACAAAGGAGATGGCAACAATGCTTGATAAGAAATGTACTCATGGGCTGAGAAGGTGGCTCTGTGGTAGAGCGCTTGCCTTGCATGCATGAGGCCCTGGGTTCGATTCCTCAGCACCACATAAGCAAAAAGAAAAAAGCCGGAAGTGGCACTGTGA